TTTGTACGATACACACAGCACAAGGAGATACAAATGGAGCACGAGTTAATTAACTGAATACGAGAAGCTGCTTGATAAGAGTGGATAATAAGGAGGATAAGGGATTGAATTTCTCAACTTGCATTTTACCGATACACCCGTTCCTCAGGTCCAAAACATAAATAAATACGAGTTGAGGTTGGAAAACCCGGGGAGATGCCATTTCTACTGGGTCGCACCAGTCGATCATTCCCTCTCCCTGGGAAGCGACTCCCTCGCCCAACCTTTCTTCAAGAACACCGTTTCGGTCGACTGTCATAAAACCCCGCCCACTTCCCTCGGCTGTTCTACTCCCTAGTCGTCAAGACCAGTACCATAGATGAAGACAACTGAGGTACACAGAAAGACTGTTGGCATGGTGGCGAACGCATCCGCTTGCCATGCCTGAGATGCCTGGTTCGATCCCCAGCCAAGACGTAAACATTTTCGCGTGTCTATCTAGGGTGGTTCCGCCTTGTTGAAAGCAATGGCAGCAAACCACCTTTAACTTAGTATCGTATTGGATGATGCGTTCCACAAATATGAGGTGGCCTACACTCTCTGAGAGTATGCCACAAGAGGAAGAAGGAAAAAAGAGCTGCTTGAAACGATGATACGGACATTGAAGCCATGGAAAAATGGAGGAAGCTTCGATTTATCGTTCTCAAGATGATATAATAATAATATCAAGGTTAGATAATAAATGGATTCGCGAGGTCAACTGCCGATGGTGGCGCTCCAAAACGTCAAATTACTCGTTGTTGAAGTGACAGTTAAGACTTGTTTATTTATTGAAGTTGATGACATTTATAAGCTGGTTAAAGCTTGCAAAAGTCGATTAGAACAACATGTCAACACAACCAGGGGGCGGCTGGACTTTTCAACTGACTAATAATTTAAAATATATAAGTTGAAAAACGGAGTATGTCTATTTATCCTTCAGTCGATTAAAATACAAAATTCCATCTACCAATTTTCTTCTTCATTGTTCTTTCGCATTTTTCCTTGTCTTTCAACATCCACATGTTGTTTATTTCTACTTCTAAGTCTCTTAAGTCCCTTTTATGTCGTCTCGTCCAATCAATGTCAGATGAATCGGGGTCAACATTCCACCTCTCTTCGATGCAGCCGACATTCAAACGTCAATTTTGGCACTGCAAATGTCTGTCTGACGTGAACTGGTTGACGTCAAAACCGTTTGTAGTACTTAACAAGCATCTGCAGCTTTTCAATCGGGGCGCACCTATTCGACACGTTGGCACGGGCTTTCTGGGTGTTTCTATCATCAGTAAAACCCCTGTCCCATGCATCCCTACGATAGTACGAAAGTGTTTCTCCGACGTCGGTCGTACCCATGAACTGACAGATCTCCAACCAATAGAAACACTTTCGTACCATCGCAGAAACGGATGGCTGCTGGGACACGATGATACGATGGTACGTAATTATTTCTATTGGTCAGAGATTTGGATCTTTGGACTGTGAACGGTAGCCATGCTTGCCGGATTCACAGTTTTATCGTTACCATACCGAACTGAGCAGGATTTTTAATTAAGCAGGACTTTTGAACTCGCAATATTGAATTTGTTTCTCACCGATTTCGGGCAATCAGCAATACAGCAATTCGCCGGGAGTGCTCACGTACACGCATAAGGTCGATTAGCATGAAAAAATGACGTGATATTCATGTCACTGAGCGTTAACCTGCCGATCTAGTATTTTT